GCCTGGTGCAGATGAGGGTGACCAGGAAAATGTCATAGACGAGGGTCCAGATGTACGCAACGCCTAGACTCCAACCCCAAGCAATGGGTACACAAGATCCGACGGTCAGGCCAGGACTCGTGGGTGGCTCCCATCGCCAATCAGCAGCTGCGATAGTGGCGAAGCCGATACCAGTGTTGATCAGCAGACCACTGACCACCGCAACAATGACGAGGGGAGAGTGATCCCAAACAGCGGAGGCTCTGACTGCGAACAGCGCCTCAGCGAACAACTTTTGGAGCTTGACGCCGATGATCACCTATGATCGGCGAATTGCAATCCAAGTAAGCTGTCGACGCGACAAGAGAAGGACCCATGGGCCGCTAAGACGCACCCATATCCACGTCGTGTTACATGATATGCCGGGCCAAGCGTTGATCTGGCATAGCAGGGCAGTGCACGCGACGATGGAGCCGTATCGAGTACCAAAGACTGATGGTCGGTATGATAGCGTCCACTGTCAGGTACCGAGGCGCAACGTCGCGGCAGCAAGACGGTTCAGATGCTTACACAAGATTAATGGCCACGTCCGAGAGATCTTGCCCCTGACAACCTCCAGGTCAAAGTTCAAGGTAGTCGCAAAGTCCCAAGCGACGATGCCAGTCTGAACATAGACCACGGCTGAGAAGGCAATGGAGTCCCGGAGTAGCTGTGGTAGTGACTCCATCCTGGACCTCGCCTGACAGATGGACGGGAATGGGCTCGAAATTGGTGGAAGTGGGATCACGGGGAGCGCTTGTACGCGTGTCGTGAGCAGCCGATGTTCTTATAAGAGACCACCGATGTTGCGGTATCAGGGCTGCCAGTCCCAGTCGACGACGCTTCACCCTCCACCCAATGCTGCATTCATGTTGGTCTCATCCACAGAGCCGCATATCGTGCCTGTTGGCAGCCCACATCTCAAGCCGCAAGCTCGGTTCGTGTGCCACAACGTTCCACCACCATGAGGTAGCGAATCACCCTCCAGCGTCAGCGCTACTCACTCATTGACTGCAGTTAGCGGCAAGCTGCATTGCGTCCGTCCGACGCAGGACCGTTGCGCTGGAAGAGAACACCGGCGACGAGTGTAGGTATTGTATGTAGCGTTCCGTTGCATTGGACGACCACTATCGGTACCCACACCGACGACTGGCCTGCTGGGTGTCAAGTCGCCTGGGCCCGCTTCCTGCGTCGAGCCGCGCGTCTCAGAAATCACGAATTTGAATGGAGCTCTGTGTGTGTGTGCTTCTGCGCGGCCGAAGCTGCAGCCCAGTCTGATGAGTCGTGCATCGCCGCAATTGCTGAACTTCTGGGGATCAATAAGGACATCGTTAGCGCCGGCGACTCGGCTTCGTTGAGCATGCATGACTGTGTCAGTCCATGACGACAAGCACGAATCACGAACCAGCGCAATCTCTGTTTCTACTCGACTTCCACACTCGTGACTTACTTGCTTGTAGCTCTGCTTCTCCTCATTGCCCCGACAAAATCGCATTTAGGCAGGATGGCGTTGTTCATTCGATCCCTAGCGCCGGGCAAAGCGTCTTTCCTGCCATCGCGAAACAATCCGAATGGCAGAAGTCCCTTCGAAAGACGGTCATAGCTGCATGACGCACGTTCCATCTCGCAGCGTCTGCCACCGTACAGCCCACGAGATTGTGCCGCACGTATGATCCTCATTCTTGATTGTGTACCTGCTTCCCTTTGGACAAATCTGTGCCGCAAAGCGAGCTGACGATGGTCCGGAGACTTACAGATTTGTACTGTATGCCGAATTAGCGGCAGTGCGAGCAAATGACAGCCACTCGCAACGGTACCGCTCCGTCCAGCCTCGTTCGGGAAAGCAGAGCGTCAGCTCTAAGACCGCTCACATCACCGCGTACGAGATCCGCCCACCAAGCGAGCTCATCGTACCGACAGAGCAATCGCCTCTTTGACACTTGAAACCACTGGCAGCACTCTGCTAAATGTGCGGTCACCATGCAAGCCTGGCTGAACAGGACCTCGAGAGCGATTTAGGCGCTGTTGCAATTTATCATAGCTCGAGCGGAGGCAATTCGCGATTTTGCATGATAGCGCCATCTGATGCGGTCCAACATCACCCTTGTCTTGTAAACTCATAAAGTCAGTCCTCATCGCTCTCAGAAATGTGGATGACATCAAAATAACACTTAATTTCTGTCATGAACAAAGACAAACTCTTACGTGCCATAACGGGACGGGACGGTACTGTATAGCGTCCCGCCCTCATCTTGAGGCAAATCGTGCTTCACAAACCGTTTCGCAGTCAGAGCTTGTTTTTCGCCTGTCCTCAGATTTAAAGATTGATACGTCTGGGCCATGCTGGTGCCGTCGATGTCCGACCTGACGAGTCGGCAAGCCAAGCCGCGTTGCTAGACCCAATGTGATGTGTAGGCTCGTTAGCTAGCTCATGGATTTTTAAAAGTCTTGTGGGATCCCACATCCGACACCTTTGTCATGACGGGCAAAGGAGACTCGAAAGATTCGATCTGTGTTCAAAGCGTGAGTATAAGCGGATAGCTGGGCGACAGTGGGTTGAGTATAGAACATATGAACGGGTGTATGGGATGGTGGTAGAACAAATGATGGGTGTGGGCGTGAATGAGAGAAAAAAATTACGAGCTACTATACTTGCGGTGGTCGTCAAAGGGAGAGTGAAGAAGTGAAGGTCGACTGATGGGGCAGGGTACCGAATACGGGCTTGTCTGTGTCGCAGAGCGTATGATGCTCGTGGAGTTGGCTCGACGATCTGAGTAGAAATCAAGGGCTTCAAGCCTTTCGACGTGCCCATTTTGATTGAGCATGCTGGCTCTTGGATCTCCAGCCCTGCTTGCTTTGCGCTTTCGATTTCTTCTTGCGCTCAGAATTTTCGCGGGTTTTGCGAGCTTGCGCAGCATGTCCGGCAGCGCGACGTGCTTCGTCGAGCTCGATGTTGAGTTTACCCCACTCTTGACGTGCTCGGGCCAAATGCTCGCCTGCCTTGCTGTGGATGTGATGAGCAGCGATTGTAGCTTCCTCGAAGGCCTCTTGAAGCATCTCGCGAGCCTCCTCTGACTTGCGGGCAGCGGCAT